AAGCAAACAAGGTAAGCATGTAAAGGTGATATAAACCCTAAGGTTACTCCACTTTTCAAGACATCTCCCCAGCAGAGTCGTCAGTTCTGTGATACGGTGGGAGAATTGACTTTGAGGTTTTGCGTTTTGTGTTTGCAAATGTTTCAATTTAGCAAGAGTCGCCACCGAATTTTTATTTTATCCTAAGGAAAGGTCAAAAAGCACAGGAAAGACCTTTGAGATGTTTTCTTGGGTTCGAGGAGTAGATTATGAAAAGGGAAGGTGTTAGCACCCTTTTCATCCATGGTTATCCATGGGCTCTTAGTTACTTGTTTAGATCACTTGCTTTTGCTTTTCAATTGTTTGAAATGGTGCTTTGTGTGTGTGGTTTTGAAAAATGTTTTGAAAAGAGGCCATCATTGTGGCAACCTTTGTAATGATTCTTGTTTGAATGTATACAAGGGTGTATTTGTCTTTTGAAAAGGTTTTTTCAAGGTTTGAAAGTTTGTTTTTGGGAAATGTTTTGAAATTGTGTTGTGAGGTGTGTTTGAAAATAGCAAGGATGTTTTTCAAGTTTTGATCAAGTAACTAAGAGTTGTCTACCCTATTTTCCTCAAAGATCTTTCCTATACATTTTTAACCCTTTTGACAGTGTTGTTTTACCATTGTATTTGGTAAACAACCTTGTATTAGGATGTTAAACGGGACAGGCGTGGGTCATCGTATTGACCATGATAGCAATTGTGATAAGTATCTTTAGCAAATTTTTGAGGGACTATATCATTTTGTTTAGGCAACCAAGATAGCATCATCGAGGGACTATGATCTTTTGTTTTGTTTTGCCAAGATACCTAGCATGCATACCAATGCCATTTGTTTAGGCAACCAAGTGGAGATACCTTAAGGGTGTTCGTGTGCAAGTGCGTTTTATTGCATGCATGATTTTATCTTGAATTAGGATTTTCTATTTCATTGATTTTATCTTGCCATACACATCCTAATTACTAGCATTTACATTCGAAAGCAATAAAAATGCGGAAATGTAAAATCCTACGTTATTACAGTATTTAGGGGATGGGGGATACACACTTGTACATGGGGGTGGTTCAATGAGAAAAATAGATTAAAAAAATAAAATAACAAGGGGAAGAAAAAGAGAAAGAGAGAGAGGGCTAGCGCGCTGCTGAGAGGAAGTCAGAAGTTCTGACCCAGGCCTGATGCAGGATATCAACCTGTTAGTGAAACTGTATGAGTCAGAACTTCTGACTCTGGTGCCCTGCAAAACAGAAACCTGTTAGTGGGAAGGTAAGAAGTTCTGACCCTCATGCGCTGCAAGACAAAAGTTTGTTAGTGGGGAAGTCAGAAGTTCTGACCCTGCTGAAAACACAATAATTTTCAGAAGTTCTGATATTATTGACAGCAAAACAGGCCTCAGAAGTGATGGCGTCAAAGTCAAATCTTGGCTTCCCCCTGTGCTAGTCAGAACATCTGCAATTTTATTATTTTTCTAAAAAACAGAAGGCATGCCTTGGACAATCTCAGCAAGTGTCAAAGTGTTTCAGAAGACAGAACCAACAAGGTCACAGGAAAGTTCTACACTTATCCACTTCCTACTTAAGCATTCAGAGGCATGAAAATCCTCAGAACGCATACAGCAGCAACATGATATCTACATTGTATTTATTGAGCATGCAAAGTTGATGATGCTTAGCAGCATGATGAGAGTCAGCAGGTGCTTACCTTGCTGTTGGAAGAAAAAACTGTGAGTTGGAGCTAGCTTTAGCTCTGATGGTGTTTTGGATAGGTTCTTTTTAGAATGGGTGGATGGAGAAGATATATGTATGTATGGTCAGAAACTATATGGGTGTTCTCTAGTCAGGAAGCAAACTGGGTATCAATGAAGTTTGGAGGCAAGAAATTCAAAGTTATGAAACACTAGGAATTTTGACAGAGTTTTCATAATGTTTTCTTGCTAGAGTTTTTCTGGATTTTTTTTACCACCCTTTTAATGGACAATGGTGTCCTATTTATAGGCAAGGCTTTGTGAATTTTTGAACGTTAAATGGCGCCAATACTATGCAGTAGAGGTTAACTTGTTCTTGAAGGGAGTTCATGAAAAGTTGTGATGATGGACAACTTTTCAGCCTAGGTTGGAACAGTAAGCGAGGATTAAGGAGAAGTGACACCCATAGGCGAAAAGTGGCGCATAGACCCATGCCTAAGTCTGCAGGAGGGTGTTACCATTCCACACGTGGAGGGGTCCCTTGGATGGATGCTCAAAAGTGGTTGTGAGCATTAATGAGCATTAAATGGTGATGAGATTTGTCAAAATCAAAAATCTTGTAATAGGAGATTTTGCATCATTACCTAAAACCTGAGCCAGCAGTTCTGCTTTACCAAGAAAAAACAATATAGACCAAGCTCTGACCTTGGTCTCTTGCTGCCTCAACAAATTTTGAGAGTTTTCCAGACCTTCCAGCATGTTCCTTTGATCTGCCTCTGAAAACTCTGGACTTGGAGATTCTGCTTCAGTACTATACCCAATCTGCTGATCCCATTACCTTCTGATCCCGATATATTCTGAAGGTGTTTCAGGCTTTGTTGTCTTCCTTGCATTTTGAAACAACCGGCTGAAAATCATCAAACAATGAAGTCGCCATCGAACGTCTTTTATCCCACAGGAAGGGAAAGGTAAACATCGAGAAAACCTGAGAAGGGTGAAATCAAGGTCGAACGACCAAGAGATAAGGGTAAGGGAGTCTATTACACGAGGGGAAGGTATTAGCACCCCACACGCCCGTATTAATCTATGGTATCCACTCTTGTTGTCTATCTTATGGGTGTGTTTAATCTATGCTTACTGTTTATTACTGCTAAGGGGAGAATGCATGGAGGGGAAAAATGTAGGGAAAATAAAATTGTGCTCGTTCGGGCCCTACCCCGATGCCTACGTATCCCCTTTAAGGAATCAGAGCAGCCGTAGTTCGGCTTATATGTTTTTGTTTGTTTGTGTTTTTTACTGAACAATATTAATTTCTCCTTCTGCCGCAACTCGACCTTTGGAGACTTACGCGTCAGCACATAAGTGAATTAACATGCTCTTCTGAAAAGATTTGGAGAAAATGTGCTTGGGCGCACAAAAAGTTTGAATTTGGTTTAGGTTTTTAATGAGCGATATTAATTTCTCCTTCTGCCGCAACTCGACCTTTGGAGATTTACGCGTCAGCACAGAAGTGAATTAATATGCTCTTTTGAAAAGAGTTTGAAAGAAAAGCCCGAAGGCGCAAAAGAGTTTGCTTTGGTTGATATCTTTTACCTTGAAGAAGGATTTGGAAGTTGTTAGATGTTTTAATATTTTTTTCAAAGAAAAAAGGAAGTTTTTGTTTTAATGCATGGATGCAAAAGAAAGAAAAATCATCTAAAAGAGACTAACCTAAATCTATCCCAAATGTTATCATACACTGATTGATCCTAAGATTTTGTTTTGAAGGGAAATTTCTACCCTATGTTGACATGCTTGGATAACAATCCTAATGTCTATCTCAACTCATCATCTATAGATGAATCAAGAATTCCTAAAGGGGCATAGCAAGGGTCTATCACCTAAAACTATGTCTATCTCGAATCATCATCTATAGTTGAATCGAGAGCTCCTAAGGGAACATGTTGAGGGTATATCACCTCAAAACATGCACACAAAGATGAAATCAAACAGGTAATCCAATAAGCTCAAGAGAGCTAACTCAGGAGAGATCCTATCTAGGCTACCATTACCTAAGAAAGTCTAACAAAACTATCCTATAGGGAGCATGCAATGAGAGTGAAGTCGTGATCTCAATTTCTAAATTGAGTGACTCATCGATCAACAAGAAATAAAGGAATGCAATGAAATCCTATAGGGAGCATCAATCAAAGAAACCCGAAGGTCTTCGTGACAGCTTCATCGATCAAAGAAAAGAGCTAGAAATCAAACGCTCGGAATAAATGTCGAAGCATCATCCATGTGAAAATAAATCAAAATCAAAATCTCAAGGGCATTTGCATATCGCACGATAAACCTGCATAGGATTCCAGATATTAACAAGCAAAAGTGAGTCACAAGATCGGGCGAAATGATTACTAAACATAATTGACAAAAGTAGAAAACTCTAATTGAAATCCTAAAGAGAAATACTAAAATATTCTAAAAAATATGCTACTATTTTTGTATATCATTTTTAACATGTAAAGAAAAAGTTCAAACAAATTTAAGTAATTATCAAAATCGTTCAAAATAAACTACAAAATAAGAAAAAATGGCCCAAGGGGGTGCAAACTGGAATCCATGAGGTGAGTTGTAGTAAAGAGGCGCTAGGCCCATTCTAAAAGTCCATAAGCTGTTTTTTTGTTTTGTGTTGCAGCTTCCAAAAAGCTTGTGGTGACGGGCCAGGAAGATCATTCAGAGGCCCAACTATCAACACAAAGATCCAATTTTCTTTTTTTAATTTTTTTTGAATAAAAAAAATGGATAATGGAAAGGATGCAAACATTGTCGTTTGGTGTTAGGGTTCACGCTCAAACACTTTCTTCTTTCCTTTCTTCCTTAAAGTTGTGCCGCAGATTCTTCCACCATCGGAGATCTCCGCCTCTCGCTCTCTCTTCTTCTCATTTGGTTTGCTCCGTCTCCGATCATTCGTCCCCACTCCGGCTTCAATATCTTCGTGAGCGATTTTCGTCTGCTTCAAATTCTGTTTGCCACCGTAGTAATCAGTGACTTGTAGACATTAAAGATGCTAGCAGAAACTTCAAGGTTTGATTTCGTTTCCACTTCATTCCTCTACTTCTGATTCTGGTTCTGTTACCGCTCGATTTCACTTATTGGGGTAAGCATGGTGTTATGATGTTTGTAGAGAGTAAAAGGTAAATGATGATTCATGGCGCGGGAGGTTGAAAGAGATGCAGTTTGTAAAAGGTTGTAGAGAAGATGGACTTTTGCGATACGAAGCGATTGACCCCGTTGATGAAGGTTGAGACAATCGCAGATGAAGGTGATGCTGCAATCCGGTTGCAAAAAAAACGGAAGACCTGAATTCCATACTAACAGAGAAGACGAAGGATCTGGTTGCGCCTTCTCAGGTAACTCTGCTCTTTGCTTCTTCTTCCTCTTCTTTGTTCGAATTTTCTGTATTGTTCTTGTTGTATGCTCTTTTTGTTGAGATAAGAGTGAAAGAAAACGAGAAATAAACTCAGTGTTGTTCTTGTTGCGAGTGCGTGTGATACAGAGAGAGAGATGATTGATGTGCGCTGATTTGATGTTTTTGTAGAGAAAGAAGATAGACGATGATGGAGATGTTCTGGAATTGTGATGCTGATGAAGCAGGTTGATGATGATTGTTGCAGGTTCACGGTGATGAAGATTTGTTGAAGGTGACTGCGGATGATCAAGTGATGAAGAATTGAAGGATTCAAGAAAGTGAGATAAAGATTGTAATGATGATAATGATATGCGATGAAGCTGTGAGGTATTCCTAGATTTCAGAGAGTTTGTTATTCCATTATTCTGTTGTGCATATGCTGTTGTTGATGTTCACAGGATTGGGATAGAGAAAGATGATGATGGGAGCAAAGAACTGGTTTCAAAGAGAAAGAGCTTGAGTTTTTGGTGTTCTTCCTACAATGATTGGAGAACTGATGAAGATGATGCAGTTGCAGGGAGGCTGCTTATGAAGATAGTGATGGTAACCAATCACAAAACGGTTGAAGATGCAGAAAAAATTATGGAGATCAAGAAGAGAGAAGAGGTAGAGAGTATTTTCTGGTGAGTTTTTTTTTATATTCTTTCTGTATTCTTTCTGTATGCTTTCTGTATGAATCTGACCGTGAATCTCCCCCCTCTCTCTTTTCCTATTGAGAGTTTTTCTTTATAACTGATTTTTCTCTGACATTCCCCCCTCTTTCAATTGTGAACCTCATTCTGTTATACAGATCCCTGAGAGTTGGTTAGGAGTTTTTCTTTTTTTTAACTTCTGGTTAAGAGGCCAGGAGTTAAAGAAATGACTGTTTGTTAGTTGGATAGAATATGGGAATTGGTAAATTCTATTTTAGATTTCTGTTTGACAGTTGGTTAAATTCGGTTAGGGGTTAGAGGCCAGAACAAATTCTGTTAGAGTTTGGATTCTGTTAGAAGTTTGCTAGGAGTTAGGAACTGTTAGGATATGGTTAGAGGTTTGTTATTCTATTTGAGATTGGTTCAGTCTGAAATTCTGTTAAGAATCAGTTATAGAAGTTAGTTATATGAATGAGTGGTGAGGATTATTCTGAGTTTTTCCTTGTGACTTCATGTTATGCACAGAGCTAAAAATTTGGTTATGCGATTTTTTTATTTGCTCTGTTAATAGCCTTTTCCTATTTTCTTTATTCTTCTAATTTTTTGTTCTGATTTTAAGCTTGGTTATTTCTTTTTCCAATAATTTTGGATTGGTCTCAATTTTCTGAATTGCTTTGGTAAAGTAACAGGTGCAGAGTCACGAGTTCATCTTTGTTTTACAACAAGTTATGTGCAAGTTACAACTGACCTTATTTCCCTGCCTTTTAATCATATGCAGACTTCTTTCATAGAAATTTTTAGACAAGTTTAGATGTTCAAAGCAAGGCCATGGTTTTTAATAAAGGTAAATGAAGCATTTGAAGAAGGAACTATATTGAAGAACAAGTTCCTGGAAACTCTGTTACCTTATGAGAACTTGGTTTTTAGCAAAATGTAGTAGTTTAGAAGATGAACCTTTTGTGTATATTTTCTTTGTATGTATACGGTTATAGAATAGGAATTTGAAGTTTAGCATGGAGTATTATTTTTTTAGGAAACTTTTGTGGCTTTTCAATGATGTAATGAGTTTAATTAACTTGGTAACATGGTTGGCATTTTACACTCGTGTTATTTTGGAATGAATCACTAATGAAGTTTAGAACTTGAATGAACCTTTAATGTTTGAAAACCTTTGATCTTGAATGAAACAGTTTGGGTAATGAATGATGAAGCTATGACTTGTTTCTTAATGAAGTGCGATAACTTTGAACAAATATACAATGATAGTAATGAAACTTGCTTTTCATTCGAACCTTTGATTCCACATATGCTTTCTCATGTCTTAAAATATCTTTAGATGTCAAGTATATCCAATAATTTCCAAATAACCTCTAAATCACGAAATATGGAATAATTTGGTCTACAAAAGTTAACTTGGTTTTCATCCACGAAATCTCACTGGAATCTTCCAATTTTGCTTGAATCAAATTATTGAACAAAACTGAAGCTCATTGTCACACAAATATAATGTCTTGAGGAATTGATAACGAAGATGGGGGTATGGAAGAAGTATAACCAAGATATCCTTAAAACTACTAATCCACATTGACTTGTATTGTGGGCGAAAACTAACGACGATGAGAACAAAAATGGCCTTGATAAACATGAATTTATGGTACCATTCCTTATGCCATGACCTCATACTTTTCAATTCAACCCCACAAGTCCTTTGTCTTGTCAAAAAATGTCTTTGTGGGATCCTTGAAGAAGATAAAATTTGAAGCTTTGAAAGATATCCTCTAATCATTTCTCATTGACGGACATCAACAAACTCACACACAAAATGCAAAACCTAACCCACTTGTATTAGGTGCCCAGTGACGACTTGAGACATGGATAGAATAATGTTCAAAATGTCTTCGAAATGAAACAAAGCATGATCTTCCAATAGACATAGGGAAATAAACCCAAATCTTCAGACTTAACAAATAAAACCTTGCAACTTGATTTTGAGATGAAGAGAATAACCTCGTAGCTTGATAAAGAAGAAATCCACAACAACCATCAATCAAAACCCTAAATTCATAATTCAATGTACCAGAAGAATCAGTCTTGTTTGATAAACACCTTGAACCAAAAGAAAACCCGAACTTCACAACCAATGATTCTCTGAACCATGATTCAACAAAACCTGAATTGGTTAATTGAAGAGTGGATGAATGCCATGTCAAAGACATTAAGCCTGATCAAATGATAGGCACACTTATATGAGGAGACGTCTTGATTCAAAGACCATGTATGCTAAGTCACGCCCTTAAGTTCTTGACAAGAAAAACCTGTAACCTGTTGTTTATCAGAAGATAATAGCCTTGTTGCTTGAGGGAGAAGAAGTCCAAAAATGAGAATGAACCAAAACCCTAATTCCACAGCTCGCTGCCTGAATAAGAAATCATCCTTTATTGGATACGAGCGCCTTAACCACTGTGAAACCCTAGTATCGCACAACCACTGAACTTTGAACCTCAGAGCTATATTGAATGAAATGTATGCCTTGCACATGACCCATTGGAATGATACGGATGAATGCAAAAAGTCTAAACCATAAAAGTGCAATTAGGAGGGAAAATTTTGGGGTGCAACAACTTCCCCTATTTAATAGCCTTCAACCTGAAGGTGAGATTGGCGTCAACCTTTCAAACTTTCAGGGTGGAGGAAGATTAAATACTAAAAGAACCCGAAAATTTGCGCTCCAAAGCCAGGGTTAGATGTATTATATCTTTGGTTTTCTGTATTTTCTATATTTTTTTTTAGGTAAAAAGGATTATTAGGGTTAGATGTATGTTTAACCAGAGTTTGACACACCAAAGGATAACTTGGTTATCGAGGAACTCTTGTTGGGATTTAGTAAAAAACACCTGTTAGAAAGATATCAAAAGGTATATGCCTGAAGCCTGTAGTAGACATACAAAAAAAGGTATCAGAGACACATATCTGGGGTCGGTATCGGATACGTAAAAAGGAGATAGAAAAGATACATATTTGTGGTCTGTATCGGATATGCCAAAAAGAGATAGAAAAGATACATATTCGTGGTCGGTATCGAATATGCACAAAAGAGATAGAAAAGATACATATCCGTGGTCGGTATCAGATATGCACAAAAGAGATAGAAACGATACATATCCATGGTCGGTATCAGATACGTAAGAAAGAGATGTCAAAAAAATACATATCTGTGGTCGGTATCAGATACGCACAAAGAGATATCAAAGATACATATCTGTGGTCGGTATCAGATATGTAAGAAAGAGATATCAAAGATACATATCCATGGTCGGTATCAGATATGTAAGAAAGAGATATCAAAGATACATATCTGTGGTCGGTATCAGATACGTATGAAAGAGACATCAAAGATACATATCTGTGGTCGGTATCGGATACGTACGAAAGAGACATCAAAGATACATATCTGTGGTCGATATCGGATACGTATGAAAGAGACATCAAAAATACATATATGTGGTCGGTATCGGATACGTACGAAAGAGATATCAAAGATACATATCCATGGTCGGTATCGGATACGTACGAAAGAGACATCAAAGATACATATTCGTGGTCGGTATCGGATACGTATGAAAGAGATGTCAAAGATACATATCCGTAGTTGGTAACGGATACGTACGAAAGAGACATCAAAGATACATATCCGTGGTCGATATCGGATACGTACAAAAGAGATATCAAAGAGACATATCCGTGGTCGGTATCAGATACGTAAGAAATAGATGTCAAAGATACATATATGTGGTCGGTATCAGATACGTACGAAAGAGATATCAAAGATACATGTCTGTGGTCGGTATCGGATACATACGACAAAGATACATAAAACATATGTCCGGGGTTGGTAGCAGACATATAAAACAGGTATCGAAAATACATATCCGTGGTCGGTATCGGATACGTAAGAAAGAGACAGACCGAAGAAAGCCCTTACAAAGATATCAAAAACACATGTCTGGGATTGGTAGCAGACATGTGAAACAGGTATCAAAAATACATATTCGTGGTCGGTATCGGATACGTAAGAAAGAAAAAGATACATATCCCTGGTCAGTATCGGATACGTAAGAAAGAGGTATCAAAAAATACATATCTGTGGTCGGTATCGGATACGTATGAAAGAGACAGACCGAAGAAAGCTCTTACAAAGAAAACACCAATCTAAGGTGAACTTACTGAGGGAAGAGACCAAACAAATGGGACTCCTGACAAATGATACCAGTCGATGATGGATTTTAACAAATGATACCAGTCGAAGCAGGGTTTTGAAAGATACCTGCCGGAGCGGGATTTTGAAAGATACCATCCGAAGCGGGATTTTAACAAATGATACCAGCCGAAGCGGAATTTTGAAAGATACCATCCGAAGCGGGATTTTGAAAGATAAAGGTATGCATATCTGGTCAGAGTTAGATACGCGGGAGTGGAATTGAGCATCAAGAAACAAATGTTTATAGTTGATAGTGAATACAGGAACGAGACTAACCGAAGAAAGCCCCAATAAAAAGGACGCATTCGCCTAAATAAGGGCGCCAGACAACTGGACTTTGAAGAGACATTGAAAGACTCTTAATCATAAAAAGTTAGATAGGCTAACGAAAGGAGGACCCACCAAACGCGGATAAACCAAAACAAGGAACTGACTAAGCAGGACCTTTAAAGAGCAACGATCGAAGGTGAACTTTGCAAGAGAAAGGGACTGGTCAAAGCAGACTTTAACAAAGAAAAACAAGTTAGGCTTTTGATAGGTTGCAAATACGCAAGAACTAAATATCCCTCAGGCCAGAGGCGGGGTGTTAATTCTTCGAGAGTGGCAATTGTCAGAATTACCACACACCAAGTATGGATACTCAAACACTTGAGAAGCAAGAAAGATTATAAGCCAACTCTTACTCACACTCTAACGACAAAGCAAACGTGGGTAAAATAACCGAAGGCTTGCAAAGG